CACCTAGTGGCAAGGTTTGACAGGAAACTGCCACCATTTGTTCCGCTAGTAGCATTAGTCATTGAGTTACATCTGCTGAACTAAGCATGTGCACAAGCCGTTCATCGGAGTCGTGAAAGAATGAAAAAAATAAAAGCTACTGTGGTCATTGGGAACCACAGTAGCTTTCATTTTTTATTTATTTTTTCATTCTTGGGGACTTTGAACATCGCACGGTGCAAGGAAGGACTTCAACAACAAGGCTAGCAAGCAAGCCCTTGTCAAAACTGATGTGCTCGACCGGAGAGTTGAATCGGGACTGTGACCCTGTGCGTAAGAATCAACGACTTTGGAACTTTAGTAAAGTTTACAGCTTAATTGTCGCCTTCCTTTTGTTTAATTTAGTAGATGTCTGTGTGCTACTTCATTTTTAGTTTATTTTAATGGTTGTCCATGTGATATTACGATTTTTTTCCTTGAACGGCGGAAGTGCTTGTTTCGAGTTTTGGTGCTTTTATGTATAAAACATTTTTGCAAACCATATTCTCTGTCTGCTCCCTCGACAACCAATCCCACCAAAGGGCTGTGATTTTCCGACGTCGAATGACATGTTACTATGTTTCCTAACTAGCGATTGCCTGCATTTTATCTTTGTAGCATACATAATTGTCGGAATTCCAAACTTCGAACCAGGAAAATAAAGATTGGTCAGTGGCCTATTCCGTCGATGTATCTACGTAAACACACGTTTGGCAGTGTGGATAGCAGTAAAATGTATATTTTGTGGATATTTATAGAGATGCATTATATGATCCCATGTCTGGACCTGAAAGAATGGTACCTGCCACATGGCAATAATTTTAATGTGATGCTAGAAGTAGCATCACATGAAAATTGTTTTATATGGGGTGGGTACCCTATTTTCCAGGCCCAAACACGGGATCATATAAAGCAGTCTCTATATGGTATATAAGGATTTGGGCAGATGTGGTGATATACATCCAGATACGGCCTGATTATGCATATGTGGTCAAATCTATCGAATTCCTTACATATCCATATCTGTATTTTTTATTATAAGTCGAGATATGACATGTATGTAAGGGATGGCTTTTAGCATCAGCTGCAGTACATCGGAAGGTGAAACAGTAGGTATGTCACTCTATTAAACGATTCCTATAATATTCCGGCGTTGCCTGATACGGTTTAATATACGGTTAGACCCACTCCGGTGAAGCTCTACGGATGGGCCAGATACGGTTCAGCTTCCGCTTCGACCAATTACGGTTGGGTTTCCGGACTGGGTATTTCCGGTTCATTTTACGGTTTCAAGAAATCTGGCCCATATGACGGATTGAAATCCCGGATTCATTCCGGTTTATTTTTAAACCGTTTTTTTTTTTTGGTAGGGAAGCAAACAGTTGTACCAACAAGATTTCACGTATTTTGCGAATGCTGCGTAAAGCGCAAATTGGAAGACAAACAAAAACAGACATTTGTGGGTGTGCTTAATATTGAGCTTGATCTGCTTCCTTACCGTTGAGCATGTAGGAGGAAGGAAAATCTCCACAATATTTAAACTTAAGGTAAAGTTGTACCTTCTCGGCTTTGTCTTGCACGATGACTGTTCAAAATTCATTTTTATTTGATTCACTTGATTAAGGACGCAGCTGCCTCAGCGAGGTTCAGTAGGAAAAGGATAAGCACGCTGGCTTTTTTGTGATGGAGTGACAAGTCATAGGGCATGACTTGTCACTCCAGGCCCATAAAACACTTGCATGCTAATGTGTTTATTTTGCTGTGTTTTTGGCTTTTTTCAGGCTACGCATGCAGCAAGTTTGATACTACTGTATTGCAGCTGAAGAACAGCCTCTCCTCGATGCTCGCACGGGAGATCAAGTAATTTGCTAAACCAGGTGTGTCTAAGTTCGTTAAGATAGGTTTTATATATCATATTGTAGAAATTACCTTCCTTCTTATGTAAAACGTGTTTCTCGAGTCTGATAATCCAACTCACCGAGCACATGCCAATATCGGAAGCATTGGCATCATCGGCACAACATGGTTAAGTAGTACAGACAAGCAGGGTCTACTCTTCAGCACTTTCTTTCAAATTTTATAATATTGCAAAATAAGCACGCGTCCTTTGTGTACAAGGACCCTTTCTTCTATTCTTTATATATTTTGACAGATATTTGCGTTGCAAAAAGTGACTTCGAGAGACGTTACATGAAGTCAGTTTTTGTAAATATCTGTCAAACTTTACAAAGTATAAAAAAGAGAGCCCTGATACACGAAAGATCCACTCTTCAAATCAGAGTGCTCAATTGTAGACACTGGCCATTTGTACTATTAAACCAGGTGTTGCCGAAAATGATCACGCTTCTCATATTTGCAGGTGCTCAAAGTCGGATTTTCAGGCTATAGAAACATATTTTGCATCAAAAAGAAGAAAATACTACACTGCAACGTAATATATAACACCTATTTTGAGAGAGCTCAGAGGCACCCAAATAGTCTTTCAAAAACGTGAATATTGACTGTGTCATGGCCGCCATGGAGTCATCCTTAATTTGTTGAGTGGACAAACGCCCACAACGTTGTGTTTGTTTTTCTTATTTGGTAATTAATATTCTATTTGTGTACACATCTCTGCATTAAGTCGTGCAAGCAGCATCTTGGATCCAAATACATTTTGTTTTTATGCGAGCACTTTTAAAAATGAACATAATAAAGCAGTCTTACATGTGTTTGACTATGCTTGCCTCAGCACCTTTACTTTAATATGCAAATTTAAATGGAGCAGATAGTTACTCCACAGCTGTTTGCTGGTACTTCATCCTTATAATTCACACAAACTGATTACGTTTGTTTCACGTACAAGCTGTTACTCAGCTACAGTAGGTGTACACGTATCGAAGCTTGGAGCTTACTGCACGTACAGTAGGAGGTATAAGTCGGCTGATGTGCATGCATGTGAATGCTGTCTGCGTGCAATGTAAAGCTCTGTGCATGTTCAAATAACTACAGTGAACTTTCGTTAATTCGACTTCGACGAGACTTAAATTTTGTCGAATTATCCGAATGATCGAATTTTATTTATTTACAGAAAAAAACCTGCTTCGCCGTGAGGCATTATTGCAGGGGGTCGGTTTCATACAAACACTTTTGTTTTAGAACATAAGTAATACACAAAAAAAGCAAAACACTTTCTATGGATCAATAATGAAATTAAATAAAAACATACTGTCTATAAAAACACTACACAATTGAAAATTCAAAAAACCAAATTTGCCGCAAGCACATCTTTCGGCAATCTATTCCACTCTTCAATGGTTTTCGGAAAGAAGGAAAAAGCAAAGGTGTCGGTGCGGCAAGAGTACGGTCTAATCTTCTTGGGGTGATCTGCTCTTTCGGACACATAAAACGGTTCATGTAAAACCACATCTCTGTTAATTAATAGTCTATTGTTGTAGATATCATCTAAAAATTTCATCCTAAACAATTTTCTACGCTCACTGAGTTTCTCCCAATGTAGGGCATGTTTCATGTTAGTGACACTCGCTCCAAGTTCGTAATAGTTTAGTACAAATCTAGCACATTGATTTTGTATCTTTTCAAGTTTGTCTATTAAATAATTTTGGTGTGGGTCCCAGACAACTGAGGCGTATTCCATACACGGACGGATATATGTAAAGTATAAAGTTTCTTTAACTTTTCTCGGGGCTTGCCGAAAATTTCTTTGTACAAAATTAAGCATTCGTATTGCCCTTAGGGCTATCATTTCAACATGTCCCGTCCACGTTAAATCATTAGATAACATAACACCTAGGTATTTTACATTCGAGCTAGGTTTAATTATTTCATTATTTATCATGTACACGGAAGTAGTGGGATTTTTTTTCTTAGTAAATTTAACATGCACGCACTTTTTAACATTTAGGTTCATTCTCCAATTTTTACACCATACAGAAATGTTATCTAGATCACTCTGTAAAGTATTAATATCGTTAGAATCATTAATTAATCTATAAATAACACAGTCGTCCGCAAATAATCGAATATACGATTGCATGCCAGAAATAATGTCGTTTATATAGATCGGGAAGAGCAGAGGACCCAGTACCGAGCCCTGGGGGACACCAGACTCGACTTTTACATACTCAGATTTCTCCCCACCGAGCACGACACATTGCCCCCGTCCACTTAGGTAATCTTTAATCCAAGCCAGTACGTTGCTATGCAGTGACAGTAAGCTAAGTTTATAAAATAATAAATAATTAAAAATAGGACAGAAAAACGTTTAAAATTAAACTTCCTTTTATTGTACCAAGTAATCAAGGGCGGTCTGCTGCCGTCTGCGCTTAAAAAGCGTGTGCAAAAGCATGCTCCGGAGAGCAGCGTAACTAAACGCCACGTCCCCATAAAATCAAACGCTACCAAAAAAAAGTTAGTAAAACATATAAAATAGCGCAACAGAAACAAGGACAAGAAGTAAACAGGACAAGCGCTAACTTTCAACTAGTTTTATTCTGGAAAATTGAACACATATATACACACGACAAGCAAAGCAGCACCACGTAAAAGTTGATTAATTTTTCACCCGATCATTCAAAAACTGAAATTCATTACAATGAAGAACAATAGAAGTGTCGCTGACACATGTCGTCCCACTTTTTTTGATAAAGAAAGCTTCCAATAGCTCTCGAGCGACCGTCTCTCGGCTTCTTCCTAGTATCCACATCTGCTGAAGTCGCGGAACACAGCTACACGTGTTGCAATGTATAGGCAAATGCGAGCCATATTTATGTTTTACTGATAATGCGTGCTCCCGTGCTCGGTCATTGATGCACCGCCCCGTCTGGCCAATGTATACCTTTCCACAACTCAGGGGGATTTCGTAGACCACACCCACTGTGCAGTCCACATAAGGGGTGACGTGTTTTTTGTCACACGGTGCTTTTGCCTCCTCATCAGAGATGCGGGCGCACAACCCAGCCAACTTCTTTTAAACTTCTGTACTTTTAAAAACTAACACCCCTGTGACGCACTGTGATACAGTACAAAGTATTCTGTCAGCTTTTGAACAACATGGGAAAGGTTTATTTTTTACTCATGAGCTACCTGACAACAATCATTTGCAGTTTTTAGATATTAACATCACCATCAACGAACGACGTGTGTGCTGGATGTATCGACCTCGCGCGCGGAAAGAGTTACTTCCTTTTGATTCAGCGCATTCAAAGACTGTTAAGAGAGCGATTGCAACTTCGTGCCTGGAGTCTGCACTGCCGAAGTCTTGTGACCATCAGGCGGATGCTAGTTTTAAATACCAAATTTCTAGACTGGAATTAGCTGGCTTCCCGTGTTCGGTCTTGGTTTCTGTGGCGGAGACCGCCTTACAAAAAATGAAGGGGTTGAAAAGAAAGGTCCCAACGAGGCAGAGAACAAAAAGACCAGAGGTCATTCCGTACATACACAAGGTTGCCCACAATCTGAAGAAAGTTGCAACCAAGTACGATGTTCCAGCTGTATTCTCTGCCCCAAAGAAGTTGGCTGGGTTGTGCGCCCGCATCTCTGATGAGGAGGCAAAAGCACCGTGTGACAAAAAACACGTCACCCCTTACGTGGACTGCACAGTGGGTGTGGTCTACGAAATCCCCCTGAGTTGTGGAAAGGTATACATTGGCCAGACGGGGCGGTGCATCAATGACCGAGCACGGGAGCACGCATTATCAGTAAAAAATAAATATGGCTCGCATTTGCCTATACATTGCAACACGTGTGGCTGTGTTCCGCGACTTCAGCAGATGCGGATACTAGGAAGAAGCCGAGAGACGGTCGCTCGAGAGCTATTGGAAGCTTTCTTTATCAAAAAAAGTGGGACGACATGTGTCAGCGACACTTCTATTGTTCTTCATTGTAATGAATTTCAGTTTTTGAATGATCGGGTGAAAAATTAATCAACTTTTACGTGGTGCTGCTTTGCTTGTCGTGTGTATATATGTGTTCGATTTTCCAGAATAAAACTAGTTGAAAGTTAGCGCCTGTCCTGTTTACTTCTTGTCCTTGTTTCTGTTGCACTATTTTATATGTTTTACTAAGATGAACCAACTAGCCGAACAACGTACCTTACAAAAAAAAGTTGTACGACTGAGAAAAATAACAAAAAAAATGGAAAAGAGAACCCGCACTTTTCGACGCACAAGGTGGACCGCACATGATATACTCCGTTTCACCCTATGTATAGTGTTCTCGGGAGAATGGATTTACATTGCGTCCGAGGCGGAAGAAAAACGTTTCACGTGACGACTCCTTGTAGTATTGAGCTGCCATTGCCCGACTTAACAAACTGACATGGAATGCCACTTCTAAATGAGGAAGACAGAAACATATCACTCTTTTAGTGAGAACCTTCACCGTTGAATGAAGAGCGAAACCGGCGAGTTTACGATCTTTCTGAGTCACATCTGAAGAAGCTATTCGTCATGTTTAATACTTATGTCGTGTCAGTGGCGGATCCAAGGGGGGGGGGGGCGGTGGGGGCGATCGCCCCCCCCCCCCCCCCCCGAACGCCTCGCCAGGCAACCCCCTCCCCGGGGTTCTTCGTCAGCTCGGAGAAAGAACGTAAGCAATCGACGCGAGGGACAAAAGATTAAAACAGCGGTGGGTGGATGCGCCTGCTGGGCGCTTCTAAAGTGGGGTTTATCTCCGTCAAGATCACGTTACGTCTTCCCGATAGGGACGGCGCCAGAAGTTTCGAAGCGGAGATACAGTGGGGGAGGCGCACCAAATATCAGGGTTCTCGACTGCAGGCACACTTCCAAACAAGGCCAGCACGTCGAGCACGGGGGGAAAATGCCTTCAACATATCTAGTCCCCTTGCTCTCTGTCTCTCTCTCTCTCTCCCTCTCTCTCTTTGAAGGTTGTCTGGGAAAAATTTGTGCCCTGAAAGCTCCCAAACGCAGACGCCAAGCAGCCTTCCTCAAGGGTACGATCCTATACACAGCGGATTATCCTTTTCGTTTGATGGTTTCTTCGTGGTTCTGGGCTTGTCTTTTGGCATGTCTTTTTTGGCTTGCTTTGAGATGCTGTCGCCCACGGGCTCACTAAAGGTATCCTATTGGCACGGTGTGCTCATTGCCAAGGGAAGTGCGGAGGGGACGTACCAGGAGGCGACGTTCCAAGGGGGGGGGGGGGGGGGATGCAGCTTGTACAACCAGGTGACCAATTGCTTTTCTTCTCAACTGAGAGAGGAAGCAAATGCTCTGGGGTACAGTGTAGTCTGGGTCTGAGCTTCTCCTGAAGACGCTCCGGACTTCCCCATGACCTTGGCTTAAACATAAGTCCGCTTTCGTCCTCGCCTCCATCCCTCACTGAGGATAGGCCGCAGCGCGGAATACAGAAAGAAGCTGACGAGCGGCAGAAGGGGGAGATGTTTCTTCTAATGGGCTTCATACTGCCTGCGATACGATTTCTCGTGGCGGGAAGATAATAAAAGAAAGATAAACGGTACAAACACTCTAAAGGCTGGAGGCTGCTTACACGGGGTCTTTAAGCCGACGCCGGAGGCATTTATTTGTATACAATGCCGTTTCAACTTAGGGTGGCGGGACATATTTTAGGAAAGGCGCCCGCTACCCCTTGTCTCCGCTTGGCGCCGTCTTTACTTATCGAGTTAAACGCGGCTTCTGTGGATTGACGGCAGAGCTTTCGCGCGGCTTTGCAGGAGCGAATATGTGTGTGTCGAACGGAACAGAGGCGGGAATTGCTGGTTTGCAACTGCGGCTTCGAATCCCCTACCTAGAGACATGTGGAAAACGAGCCCTTTCAAAGATGCGACTATACATAAACTAAATAGACAGTGCCTGTGCCCGTTTGAGTGAACACCGACTCCCAAACATCCATGCTGCAGTCGTGATCGGCCTTTTTCCCAGTTGAGATTCGCCGACCGGACAACCGCTCTGCCCAATCATATCTCTGCACCTGTCCTCTCGACCCTGACGAATGAGCTAACTACCCAGAAGCAAGTGTTCCTTTCATACAGAAAATATTCAGACGAAGTGCAATTGAATATAATTTGGAAGGATCCATTGCTGGTTTAAGGTATTGTCTAAGTTTAAAGGTTATAGTTGCCGAACTGCAACATGCTTTCAAAAATATTCAACAATTATTCGCTTTCGTTTTCTCGAGTTGCATCCAGAACACGTGAAAACGCGAGTTTGGGTTGGCAATGCCGCATGTGCTGCGCTCTGGACATTCCAAATATACGGTGAACAACCGACGAACGTGCCTGGCAGCGTTCGTTTCGCTCGCTGCGTCAACAGTGTTTTGACGCCGCGAACAGCGTCGAAGCCGCCGGGCCATTTTTGTCGCGTGTTTGCAACGTACTCGCTCCATTGAAGCAACCGGCGACAATGAAAAGTATGTTTTAAAACCACGTTCTGCATTTTGGCACTGAATATAAAGTTCTAACTACTATACCAGGCTTAATCTCAAAAGAACATCCGAGTTTTAGATTAAAACGTTTTTCGCATTGTCATTAGCTGCATGAGCTTGCTCCGTATAGTTGGTAAAGGTTGGCTCTCCGTACATGCTCTGCGGGTGTAACGAGAATATATAAATATTTAAGCAAAAGGAGCCCAAAAGTTGTAGCCCCGCCGGGGATATCTGAGCCATCAAGTTACACTGTCTGCGATTGTCACAGCCGCTATAGCGCCAAACATTCATCCCCAGTAGTTAAACTTCTTTTTCTATTTCTAGCGCGCTGCCACACGAATGGAGTAATCTCGTTTCCTATGAACTACAAAATTCCTTGCGTTATGGTGTTCAGAAAGGATAGTGCCAACACAATTTTCTAGATACTTACCTCTAGCGTGGTCACCCGAAAGGTTTTGATTCAAAGAGTTCATTCTCGACAGGTAAACCGATGCAAAAGCTCTCAATATCTATATTATGTTATCAGAGTTCAGTAAAAACGATAACTCCACAAAAAAAAACACCCCCCCCCCCTTGCCGTTTTACACCGAGGAACCGCCCCCCCTAAAATGGAGATCTGGATCCGCCCCTGTGTCGTGTGCGCCAGCAAAACCACTGTTCAGCATGGTTCACATTGGGGCACATAAGGTTGTTGCGTGTAAACAGGGAGCACTGAGTTTTGGGACCTATAGACCAACACAGCTCTTTGACGTCACATCAATGTGATGGCGCTGCTGTCGGCACTGCGCATGCGCAGCGCCTCGCTTCCCCCGGATCTGGTTCCTGCACATGCGCTGTGTGGGCAAACGGGAGCTTGTTTTGTAAACACTGTTGTTGTATACGGTAAATAAAATGAGCGCGACTTACTGCCTCAAGGTATTCAAAAGTAATGACAAAGTAATTTCATTACTTTTTGAAGTAATTGTAATGTAATGTCATTACCTTTAGTCTGTGGTAATGTGTAATGTAATTTAATTACATTTTTGCAGTTCTTAGAAAAATAATTAGTATTGTAATTTAATTACTTTTTGAAAGTAATTTTGCCATCTCTGGAAGAAAGGAAAAGGGAACGTGCGCTTTCTGACGGGCAAGATGGACTGCAAACGATGCTACAGAAAAGCGCTTTGAGAGAGCGCGCGCTGTCTCCGCGCCCGACCACGTGCTATGCTCTCCGCGCTATTCCACGCCAGATTGGTTGCGCTGGCTCATGTCATTTGCTACGGTACATCTCAACGTCGTAGAGGAGCAGGCGCATATTTGCGCACGTTCCGCTTTGGAGCGAAGGGCCCCTGTTTCGCCGTACGTTGGTGATTTTTCTGCCGTGGTGCCGTGCAACGTGAGCCCGCGTGCATTCACTCGGGACGAATTATCCGATGCGGAGACTTCCCGAGTTCCAACTATCAAACTTCCCCTACCATAGAAATGTATGGCCGCTCGCCGGGACTTTAGAACACGATCGAATTAAACGAAAAGTCAAATTAACCGAGGCCGAACAAACGAAGGTTTGCTATAGGCTGCAGGAAATAGAATAAAATGCATATGTTGAAATTTACATTTACTGTGTTTCTTGTACACAACATGCACGGTTGCCTTAACAGTATACTGCATTTACTCGAGTAATAGCCGCACTGTTTATGAAGAAAACCTGAGAGTTCGCTTTTCCGCGTGGCACGCGGATTGCCAAATCACCGCGATCGAAAGCATGATTCCAGCTGCTTACAGGACAGAGATAACATCTTGGCGCCAAGATACCATCTGTGAAGGTTGCATTTGTATGAAGACTCGTGTTCTTGATCTAGTTATTTGCTGTGTTATTTATGCGCAACACAATGATTTGCAGTATATGTGCTTCGTACGAAACTAGACACAAGGGCCTCATTCATAAATAGTGCAGCTATTAATCGAGTAAATACACTACATGTTAATAAGCCGCGACATATTGTCACGGGTGGTGACCAATAAAAAAGAGATAAACAGGAATAAATAAACGTTTAATGTGGCGAACTTGTGCCAAAAATAAAAGGGTACAAAAGATAATAAGAGAGCGTCGCGGGCGTCGAAGTCGGCGTAACAGCAGAGTCGAACGCTGGGGCGAAACTGACTCCGCTCGCCTGACGGAATCCCTTATGTACCCTCGTGGGTTTCTGGATCGTTCGGCGTAGAAGGTTCGGCGCGTAGAACATTCTAACCTCGAATCAGCAAGACGGTTCTCGAATTCACTAGAACATCAAATTACACTGTCAACAAAAATCTGTAGTCGCGGCCAGGAATCGAACCCTGGCCTTCTGCGTGGGAGGCAAGCGCGATAACCGTTAGGCCACGCGCTTTTTTTTTTCTTTATTGCCGGACAAAAGCACAAGCACAGACACGACACACTAATACAACGTAAATATATAAAAAAAAAACAGTCAGCCTTTGGCTATCTTTG